GGGCCTCCAGGGCTGAGCCGGGAGCCGCGGGAGCAGGAGGCACGGGCGGCGGAGCCGGAGCGGGAGCCGCGGCGGCGGCGGGCAGCGCGGGACCCAGTACTATGGCTGTGTACTGCTATGCACTCAACAGCCTGGTGATCATGAATAGCGCCAACCAGGTGAAGAGCGGCGGCGCCCCCCGGCCCAGCAGCAGCGAGACGCCCCCGCCGCCGCCGGGGAGCGCCGTGTTGAGCCCCGGCAGCGTTTTCAGCCCTGGGAGAGACTCCTCTTTCCTCTTCCCCCCAACCGAGTCGCTGTCGCCCGAGGAGCCCGGGAGCCCCGGGAGCTGGAGGAGTGGCCGGCGCAGGCTGAATAGTAGCAGCGGCAGTGGCGGCAGCAGCAGCAGCGTGGGCAGCCCGAGTTGGGCGGGTCGCCTGAGAGGGGCCGGGCAGCAGGTGGTGACCGCCCGTTCCCTCTCCCCTCCGGGGCCGGAGGAGGCCCAGAGGAAGCTGCGAATCCTGCAGCGCGAGCTGCAGAACGTGCAGGTGAACCAGAAAGTGGGCATGTTCGAGGCGCACATCCAGGCGCAGAGCTCCGCCATTCAAGCGCCCCGCAGCCCGCGTCTGGGCAGGGCGCGTTCGCCCTCCCCGTGCCCCTTCCGCAGCAGCAGTCAGCCCCCAGGAAGGGTCCTGGCTCCGAGCGAGGAACGGAGGACCAAGTCCTGGGGGGAGCAATGTCCAGAGACCTCAGAGGCCGACTTCAGGAGGAGCGCGAGGGCGCCCGGCCTGAGCCTCTCCAAGGACAAAGAGGCAGCGGCACCTTTGCCCTGCCCGGCCTCCCCGTCGGGATCCCGGGCTCAGGGTGCAGCCTCGGTGAGAACTGAGAAGGGTGTTGTCCCTGCCAGACCCCACTGTGGCTCCCCCGTAGCCATGGACATTGACACAAGGGTCTCCCCTCTTTTGGAAACAAAGAGCTGCCAAGCTCCCTCGTTGGGACTGGTCGGAGCGAACTCCGTGGTGGTCACAGAAGTGGCAGCGAGAGCTACATCCACTGGGCCACACCATCCACACGGCCCTGCCCCCGTGGAGCTGTCTGAGAGGCCCCGGGAGCTTGGGGGGGTGCATCCCTGGTCACAGCCCCCGGCCCTGGTGGAGGGTAAGGGTCAGTCTCTGGGCCGTGAGACGAGCCCTGCCCCGGAGAGGGGTGGGCCTCGCGGTGGAGAGCCCCCTGGGAAGGTGGGGAAAGGAAACCCGCCCTGTGGCATGCCCGGCTCCGGGGAGCCTGAAGCCTGCGAAAGGCCAGAGGAGAGGACTGTGGACGCGCAAAGCTCGGAGCCCTCTGAGGGCCCCAGTTGGTTCAGGCCGTCAGGAGACCTGGGCTTGGTAGGACCTGAGGTGACCCAGAGTGGGGCGCCAGTGGCCCCGGAGCCTCCGCAGCGTTCCCACAAAGTGGATGAAGGGTCTGCGACGCTGGGCTTGGGAGGGGGCAGCCGCTCAGCCCAGCCAGGCACAGGGAAGGGGGAGCACGGAATCCCCGCGGGGGAAACGCTGGAACCTTTGCCCTGTTGGGAAGCAGCAAAAGATGTGAAAGAACCTCAGTGCCTTCCTGGGGACAGGGTGGGTGTACAGCCTGGGAGCTCCAGGGCATGGCTGGACCCCATGGAGGAAGCCCGTCTGGCCTGGACGTGTGGCACTGGGGTACAATCCCAGGGGACTTGGGGAAGCCCACCGCGGGACAGAGCCACCCACTCCAGCCCAGAGCTGCTCTCCCCGGATCAGAAGGACAAGGCTTTCCCGAGGGAGGCCTGCAGCCCCAGCAATATACCTGCCGTCATCATTACAGACATGGGTGCCCAGGAGGATGGGGTCTTGGAGGAGGCACAGGGCAGCCCCCTGGGCATCCTGCCCCTGAGGAAACTGTCTTCTTCCTCTGCCTCCTCCACTGGCTTCTCCTCCTCCTATGAGGACTCCGAGGAGGACATCTCCAGCGACCCTGAGCGCTGCCTGGACCCCAACTCCGCCTTCCTGCATACCCTGGACCAGCAGAAGCCCAGAGTGGTAAGTCTTGCCCTGAGCTTTTCCAGAACTTGAGCTGCTCTCATGCCCTATGTGTCCACCCTGTTTCTCTGACTTTCTACCAAGTCATGACGACTCTTGCGGGGACCCTGGGGCAGTCACAACTTACTCTTCTCTCCAGGTGTGTGTTTGTTGGGCAGGTACTTAGACACTGAACATGCACTTTGTAGCTATTTCCGTATACATCTTAAAAAACAACTTTCATGGTACCTTTCTGGTAAGTCACCAGTCACTTCTTAGGAAGATAATCTTCACGAATGTTACCAAAATCTTCCTGATTAGTCCCCAGAGATAGTGAACAGAGCTGCTAAGTGTAGCTTTTGTCAGATCAGGTGAACCACTTAATGCTGTGGTTCTTTTAGACAGAGGAAAACTGACAAGGACATGATTGAATTAACTCAGCCTCTCTGCTTAGAGGCCAGGAAAATGAGTGATGTAATTCTATGACAGGGCCCTGAAACCTGTAGATGGGGTTGTGGCAGGTCTATTGGGCGAATAACCACTTAGCCTCAGTAAGTTAAGTTAGGACATTGGGCATAACTAAGATACAGTTCGTTGTATCAATTAAAATGAAGATCATGCTTTGCATTTCTCTAATTGCAGAATGTTATATTAGGTCAAATTGCCTGAGATAGGGTAGACCCCACCTAATGGATATGCTTATTGACTGGTCCAGGTGATCACCCTACTGACATCTTGTTCTGGCTGTGGCCGTAGACAGGAGTTTATTTCTGTTGTGGCTCATGTCAGTCCTCGGCCGTTTTCACTCCTAGGATGATCAGAGTGTCTTTACGGAAGACGTAAGAGTTGAAGCTAGCACTTCTGAAAGGTCTGGACTTTCTCTCAGCTCTTCCAGAGTGTGGGGAATTTCCCGTGCAAGGGGTTCTTGTGCTACCTTGGGAAAGTCTGCATTTTAGTGTAGTAGGTAGCCTTCCGATTTCATCTTGAATATCCAGTACTATTCGTTGTACCTTTATGACTTAAACCACAGCAACTGAGAACTTTATATTTCTACTCTGAATCCTTGTCTAAGGTATTTTGGACCTCAAAGCAATGTTTCTCTTTCACTCCCACTTTAAAAATCGCAATCCGGATTTTTGAAGCCTAGGCATTTCTTTTCATGAAACTGCGCTTTCTGTTGATGATCTGGCCCCAGTCAGCCTGGCATTCTGTGGCCAGGACAGGGCCTCAGGCATGGGCGTACCACCTGTGGAGGAGAGACAGTCCACCTGGAAGGGGGGGTGGAAAGTGCTTCTCACTGAAGAGGGGGCCCAGCTTCCTCTGCCTTCTTGCCTATAATTAAAGGTAAAAAACTGGTGTCCTGTTTACTCCTCCCATTTGCTTTTTAAACCCTGAAGCATCGCTGGCACAGCCAAGGTGCTTCAACTTGTTCGCCAACTTTCCATTCGCCCTTTCTAGTGGCGAATTCGCAGCTCCTATTGGCTGGCTCTCAAAACAGTTTCTGCGTCTTGATGTTTGAAAGGGGCTCTTGCCTGGGAGTAAATTAAAGGGGAGATAAGTAATGACAGGTGATGCTTGTTGTTTTTTTCATATGCCAGAGGGGAGCTGACTGAGAAACCAGAGGGCTGAGTGGTGGTTTCAAAGTAGCTAACAGGTCCAGAGGTAGAACTGAGGCCTGCCTTTTTGTCCAGCCTCCTTCCCACCTTTAAACAGGTTTCCCTGGGTGTCTGGCCAGGGAAGAGTCCCCTGCCAGCTTTGCTCTCTGAATCACATGAGGCTGACGCTGAGTGTGTGTGGAGGGGAGGGTGGGTAACCAACTGGAAATTATGGGATCCTAGGGACTTTTGAGCTTTTGGTTGAGTGTTTGCATGATAAGCGAAGTTTTCTTTTGTTACGGTGGAGATGTATTTGTGACACCGTAACATCTGTTCATTGGGTCAAAAATCCCTTGATTACCCAGTATTGATATTTTGTCTGCAGAAAGCCAGACATCTTGATTGGCTGGGCCTTTTGGCTGGGCTTTTCAGCGTTTAATAGATAAAACCTGAGCCAGCTCTGTCTGAGTCGCTACAGCACCAACGCCCTGCCCTGTTCTCGTCTCTGGCCTTTGCCGCTTGTTTTTATATTGCACTCCAGGTGCACACACGCTCACACTCACACACCCTCACACGTGCTCACATTCACTCACACCTCGCACTCGTACACACACATACTCGTACACACAGGTTTGAAACTGCAGGTTCAGCCTTCCAGCCTCAGGCCCTCAGGGGTTTTGCTGCTGCTCTGCCTTTCCCCAGAGTTAAACCTTCTGTGCCTGGGCGGCCTGTGTTGCGGGGAATGGCCGTGTGATGCTCTGTGATGCTGTGTGCAGGCGGAGGGGACAGCCCAGAGGAGCCTGAGGCCCTGCTGCTTTGCCAGCTCTCCTGCTGTCGGGGCTCCCTGCAGCTCCTCCCTGTTGGAAGTCTCGGAGCCGGTGTGACGGGGAGTACAGAGGACCTCCCTATAGTTCAAAACACAGTGAAAAGCAAGTCATTTGGAAATGCACTCTGCAAATTACTTCACCATTTAGATTATGCAAATTAGCAAAGGCCTTTTTACTGGAAGGGAATGTGGTGAGAAGGCCCGCTCTCCTCATTTGCTTCCATGGGAAGGAGCTACAGACTTCTCAAAAACATGCAAAGTGCTCTAGGCCTTCTGATGAGCTGGACAGATGCGTCTGTCCCCCAAATAGAACTTTCCAAGTTTTTGCATCTGATGTCTGTTTATAAAAGATCAGTCACTTGAAATTTGCCCGGGAGAAATTGTATTAAGTGCCTTGTGTTCAGTGGCTCAAATTCGGGCACATTTTTTCTTCCCCGGGATCTGAATAGAAGCGCGTTGCACTGAGCAAGGGTGCTGTTCTCTCTTCTGTTCTCTAAAATAACAAAATCAGACTTGATCCCCACGTGTGCGTGCGGGAGGCAGCCAGTCAATTGTCTCTCTCACATCAATGTTTCTCTCTCTCCCCCCTCCACTCTCTCTGAAAAGCAATGGCAAATAAAGTAAAATAACTCGGAATTAATCAGCAGTTCTTTACTTTCCTCTATTAGTCCATTTAAGAGTATCTGAGCTATTGAAACTTAAAGTATCATAGTAAAACATGTGTGCATATTACTTTTTAAAGTAGATTTTAGTGAGTTACTCCAAAGTATCAATTATAGGTACAGAACACAAAACAAAACGTTGGCCTGGTTACCTTCGGGGCGGGGGGGCAGGGAGGGAGGTGTGTATATAAAGAAGGGTAGTACAAAATTGTTGGTTTCTTGGTGCTTACTACTTTTTAAGGACCATTAAAGATTTGTTTCTTTTGCTTTTTTTTTGTATTGACTAGTTTTGTTGTCTTTTTATTTTTCAATTACAATCGACATATACAACATTAGTTTTAGGGGCACAACATAATGATTAGACGTTTCTATAACTTACACAGTGATCACCCCAATAAGTCTAGCACCGTCTTTGTTGAGTGAATGACTAACTCATACATAGATTTAAAAAATTCAAACAGTTTATAAGGGTTCTATGTGGTTTTGAAACATATAAAATTTTTATTTGTGGGCAAACCAAATTAAAATTTCAAAGCCTTAGAGGATTACTTTTAAAAAATGAATTGAGTGGTGAGTACTTTGAAGTAGAAAATTCTTTTCTGCATGAGAATGTTGAAGGCCCAGATCTTGAGTTGGGGGGATCATCTTGAGTCTGATTGACTGCACAGTTTTGAGATGGGGCCCCCTCCTTCTCTGTCGGGTACACGGAGAGGATCTTTCTGGCAAGGCCTCAGCACCTTTCAGATCTAGGAGGACCCTGAGTCATTTATGTGAGGTTCTGGGTGTTACTCTGATCTATTTTAGATACAAAGGGACCCAAGGACACACTCTTGGGCTCCTATATCTGACTTAGTTCCTTCTTTTAAAATGTACCTGTTGCATGAGGAGATCTCATGGAGTCTGTGAAGTTCTCTCTGTGACTGTATAATTCTAGGCATTCGATTTAAAACTTAGTGTATGTGACACTTCAGGGTGTCTGGAAGTGTGACAAGATTCCTTTGGTGTAGACCTTAGGTACATGGGCCAAAACTGGACACATTTAATTTTGTGCTTTTACTTTAGACCATTTAATTGATCGGTCTCTCTTCTTTCTCTTTACTGGAAGACTGGTTCTTTGTAATTTCACGTTGAAAAAAGCATCATCAAAATAAAGCATCAGCGTGATCCCCAAGTTTCTCATTAATCATTAGACTGATATTAGAGGCTGTGCTGGTAGGATGCCAGGACATTAACCTGAAAAGTGAAAAACACTGATCTCTGAGAGCTTTGGCCTCCTCGGATATTTCAGTTTGGAAACTGAGGCTTTGCCTATACAGAACCAAAACATCACTTCAAAAAAGTCTTTTTTTAAAAAGTCAAAGATAAAAGTAATTAAGCCAGCTGAAAATTCTTTCAAGTAAAGGGGGGCGTATAGAGAGAAAAAGAGATTGATGTTTAGGCATTGCAAAAACACAGCCCAGGACTCATCTAGCCTTTAGGTTGTATAAGAAGAGCATATTAAACCAGTCAGTTGCTGCCTTGAGAAAAATGTATTTCAGGTGTAAGATCCTTTTCAGAACCGTTGTTTTTAAGTGCTGAATTGCTGTGGAGTCACGTTTGTGATTTTGTTGGCACATACCTGTCACGTGTAGTTACAGATTAGATTAGTTCTGTGTAGTTTATTTATATTCCTAGGAGCATTGATAACATTGTTTAGGCTTATTTTATTTTGTCAGGTTTTGACTTTGTTATCTAAAGGTAGAATTTAAAAATACTTAATGGAAAGAATTTTATATCTTGATAGAGAAAACATTGTAGACTTCAGGTAATGGGCAGGAACCTGAATGAACTCAGAAACTCTTCTAAATCCTGTTGTGGTTATTATATTTTCAACATAGAAGGTCCTATGGGTTTTGATAGGAGACAAGACCTAGGTTGTTATGCATGTTGAGCCCTCAA